GGGGAACCGTCAGCATAATGGACTGCCAATGAGTTATTGATAAAAGTAGCTATTATTACTATTAATTAGCAATAGGCATGTGATAATTATTCTCATACACTATATAGGCAAACATAAAATCATAATTATTTTGTTCATCCTTTCCTGGCTTTTGCTAAATAATAATTTATAAGAGGCTAATTCTATGGCTGCAAATTCTTAAAATGTCACTTAGAAAACTCCTTTACTCACAGTAACCCTTAATCTTCTAGAAACACAATCATGTGCAGAATGTAAACAACAATAAAATTAGATTACCATGTTTCTATTGATGACAGACTATTGGACCACAAAAAGATAAATATAGCCTTCAAATGCAGCCTCAGACCATAATTTGATGCACACTCACACCAGTTTACATATTTCTCATACATAGATTTCTTTGAAATACTCCAGTTGGACAAAACTGTATTTTACTAAATTAATATTACAGCGAGAAAAACAATGTCAGATAATTTGTTAGTGTTCTAAGCTTTGCAGAAATGATAAAACAAGTTTAAAATAACTTCTGGTAATACCAATTGGTATAACTGCATTAACCTGTGACCTAAAATAGGCAATATACAATTAAATACATCTTAACATGCAGAAAATCTAGCCACCTCACTCAAGATCATCTCTCTTATCATCTTGGAAATCTGATACATCATTCAAAACGACTATCTGAATTACAGAATTCCTGAAGCCCTATTTGTAGGGAAGATTCCAATGGCATCCAGTCTTATGTCACTCACAGGCAAATTCATCTGCCTTAAGACAAAATTAAGCTTCTTCTTACGTATATATATCTAAATTTTCAATACAGGCAAACTCAGAATTAGAGCTCTTAATTCCGCTGGCTCACACCTCTTTCTGGCCCATCTCCCCTCCTCACCCCCGAGACAACCAAAAATAAACACTCAAACCAGTACTATATGAACTGACCTGACCAATCCTGGGCTCCCAGGGACTTAAGACAACCAGGAAAAACAAAGATGGAAAGAATCACTGCTTTGCAAACAAGGCCTTAATTAGATCCGTAAATAAAAACCCTTTTACTGCTCCAGCCCCAGGTCCTTCTGAAGGAAGATTTCCCAACTACTTCTCACACTGACACAACACAAACATCAGCACACAGCCTCTAGCAAACCCAGGCGTGAACATACACCCGCAGGCTGGAAACCCTCTAGATGTCCCGTTATCTAAAAAAGCATCACCACTGAAAGTTTTAGGCCTTAAAAATTATACTGTAACAATATAACAAGAAATTTCTATTCCATCCTATCCTGGAAGACGAACTACCCCGAAGACGAGGAAAAACAGGTAAAAGAAAAGCCACAGTTTTTGATGTTTTCAAAACCACCCATTAGTCTCCCCCGAGACCAAGCTTTCATTGTTTAATGGTAACTACACAATTTATTAATTCCCTTGGAAACAACACTTCCAACAGTGCTCTTCGGAGTGCAGGTCAAGCATTCACTTAGGCTATTTTATATTTTTGCCTGCTTATGTTTTATAATGCAAAGATGTATAAACTGGGTGAAACCAACAGTTAACTGCAACAATAACAATTCCGAGAGGTTGGAATGGAACATAAAAGTATGAAGAGTTGAAAGTTTTGAAATATGAAACATTCAAACAACTTTTCTAACTAAGGACCATTTCATGTAGGAAATGAAAAAGCACAATATTTGAGGCTGTAGCTCAGTGTCTCTCTGCCTTTATCCCTTAGATGAACCATGAAAATAGGCGCTAGCCTGTGAGTACAGAACCTACAAACACTGAGTCTTATGATAATTTGGCAGCAGCCCCAAGAAGAAACTTAATATTCTCTGCCTCGCCATTCCATTCCCTTCTTGTTTGTTCTTCAGATGAAGTTATGGTTTTTGATACAGGAGATTTTCATGTTTTCTTAGCCTCATTATAGGGACAAGTGGTGGCAGGAAGAAAAAATGGCCCTGAGTGAGAGAAGACAATCAATATAAAAGTGGGCAAAGCCAACAACTGTGTAAACTGCGTGGAAGTTTTGTTGACCTAATTAAGGAGACCAGCTTCAATGAGGCTGCAGTGAAGTCGCTCAAATATAAATCACGGCCTAGAAAGCTAGAAAGAAATATGTGTTAGGGAGTTAAGGGGAGGTGATTGATATTTTAAACGCTCTTTGAAATTTTAATGAATTTCTTGTTTTTCATTCTTCTGATTCATTGGTAAACGCTGCTGGCTTCAAAATAAGTAAGATTTTCAAAGAAGGAACAGGAAAATCTATAATGATTATCCCCCAGGGAAGCCTGCCAGACATTATGACTTCACTAATTTAAGCTTAACTCCTCTAGTGGTGACTGCGAGGAATGAAGCCAACGCATTATAGAACATGTAAGTAGCATGATGAATTGATTCACAAACTGAATAATAACCCAGAACTTTCTAATACTGTTTGCATCTACTAGTAAACAGGCATGTAACAGGGATCCTGAAGAAAGTTTGAGTCCACATTTTCAAACTGCACACTAAAATAAAACTGAATATGCCAGTAGATGGATTAAAATCCCATTTTATTTTTCGGACAATTTATCCTAACGGCTTCTAACATCAATTTTTAATGACTGGAACCCTTGACATCTCTTGACTTCTCTTAACTACTAGAACCCTTGCCACGTCCACCCCTGAAGAATGCCTGAAAACAGAGTGAAATGAGTGTGTATTTATCTGAAATCGGCCTAAAACTTTCATTTCCAACAGTTAAGATAATTAAGATTATTTTAAGGATAAGGAGTAATTTTTAAATATTTTCCAAATTGAATGGCTCATCAGATTACACAATTATTCAACATATTTTATTATTTTGAACTTATTTTAGCTGTGCAAAAAAATATTCCTGAATCTGAACATGATATCAGCAATTAAGTATGAATACTCAGAAACATATTACCACCCCACAAGCCCTTTAAAAACAAACCACACATCATTCACACAGAGCCCCCCAAGGGGGAAGTCCCCCCCACACACTCGGTTTCATTATGGTGTGGTGCTTATTTTGTCCCAGACGTGCCTGTGAATGATGACAAAATGAAACATCTTCCCCTTACTTCATTTCTTCATCTATAAGAAAATTAACTACTATTATTTCATAATTAATCCCACCAATATGTATTGGTATATTCTTGTTAAGCAAAATAATTTGACATGCTTATTCTTCTATATATTGAAGTTACTTTAAATGCTTATCTTATTTGAATTTTTCAATGATGATAACTGTTACATGTTTGGCCCCCTTTGGCTCTCGTCAGTGGCTACTTGCTCAAGGTCAGTGTCTACCTGCTCAAGGACACGGGCGTGGGGCCCACTAGCCCAGGGACCGCTTTGTGACTAAGCACACCCCAGTCTACACTGTGGCCTAGCCATCCTTCTACCTGCATCTGAATTCCAAAGGAGAGGAAAAAAGGACTGCTTGCCTTTTATTTGCTTTATAAAATCTAGTTAAACCCTAGGATTGTTTTCCTTTTAATAACTTAAAATTCCTTGTTATCACCTATCGAAATGGGAAGAAAAGAGTTTCAGATGAAAAGGCACCTTAGTCAGAGATTAACTTTTGCTAGGTCAGCGAAGTTTCTACTTTTGACAGTGACCATCTTTCATGAACACTGGTAATGAAAGTATTTACTTAAATGGAAAATACAGACTACAAGGGTGGGCAAACGTAGGTTTACAGTTGTGAGTACAGGAAACAAAGTTTATTATTATTTATTATTTTCCATACAAGCCACTGTAAATCTATGTTTTCCCACCCCTGTATTTACACTTTAAAAACAACAGTCACAGTATAAAAATTAAGATGTCTCACATGAAAAACAGCTGATTTTATATTTTTTCTAGTATCATAAATTTCATAACATTAATAGTTTCAAAAGCCTTCACTAATACATATGGGAATACTGAACCAAACAATTTCATGGCATTTAGTTTTGTTTATTTTTTAAGAAATGTGATAAAAGATCACAATGGTGATTGGAAAATGATGTTTATGGATGAAATTCTAACATGAATAATTTATTGAACTTCTAGTGAAACTTATGCTCCAAGTTCATCAAGGTCCAGAGGTTTAGGAGGGAATAAATAAGCAAAAAATATAATCTGTGAAGAAGTAATTTTTCATTAGGCTAAGGTGGAAACAAATAGATTACAACATGTAATATATCCTTCCATATGCTAAAGTTTTAAAAATATACACAGTATCTAAGTATGAAGAATAGATTACAATACATATATATATATATGTATATATAGTCTTATTTACATGTTTAGACTTACGCATATGTGGATCAAATTAAGTATTTTTAGTTACATAACATGTATATAAATATTCATGTATTAATCATACACAAATAATTGTAATAATACTATGTTTTAAATATACTATTTAACCTTTAAGAAGCAAATACATTTTGTGTAACATCCAAATGAGGTTGTATATTTGTAAACAATATATTTCTTTTTTTAACTTCTTTATAACTTAATGTCCAAAGTGCCAAGACTAGGCACACAAATTCTTGTACTGATATTTAGAAACAATTCAGTCCAATGTTATATGTATGCAACAAATAGTTTAGCAACAAAAGGGAAAGCAAAACAAAGGAAATAATTCTAAATTTTCATTACTCATAAAGCAAAACACTGCAAATTGCTACTGTGTTGTGGAAAATGGTCAGGAGGAGATACAACAAAAAGGTTCAAAATGTTATGCCCACTCCATATGTATAATATGCATATGTATGTATCTATGCAAAATAAAACCAGTCTATGTAGTGTTATAATAACCTAGTGACGTGCAGCTCCTAATGATGAGTACTGATTCATAAGTCAAATTACGTAAGGAGAAACAGAACAGTAATTTCATGGATTTGAACTCGTAACCACCTAACAACAGAGCACACAGTCATGAAGAAGCAAGGTGCAAAGTAAACAGTGAGAAGGCAGACACTCACCTTCGGTGCCATTGGGAGTCATGGAATTACTATTTATATGAGAGTTATCGAGTTTGGGGCCACTGGGGGAGTCACTACTACCACTCAGACGGCTATGCGGGCTGGTTAGATCCTGCATTTCCATAGACCTAGAGACAAGAAGCCTTCCGTTTGACAGATGTACCAAATTCATAACGCCGCTATTTAATGCGCTAACGACTTGACGCCTCTGGAACACATTCGCACAAAAGTCCCATTGTATCTCTTTTCTGAGACTCAAAATAGTTCATCTTACATTTTACCTCCAGTCACCCTTTCATAACATGTGGTAATGAAAGGTGTCAGCCACTTGCCTTACCTATCCAGCCAAACATTCACAGGGGGCTTTTAAAATCTTTTTTTTCTTCTTCTCTTATAGGGCTCATCAAGGCACAGATCAAAAGAGACAATTACATCTAATTTAATCTTTTTTAAAAAATGTAGTCATGCTTCTTTTACATTAGAAAAGGCATCATTTTTCTAAAAGAAAAAGTGTGTAAACAAGTAGGAAAAAAACCACCCTTGGATGGAATCTGTTTGATCTAATAAATTAGCACTAAGTACTCCTTTATAATTTACCAACTAATTGTAATTTAATGGGTCCCCAAACCAAATAAAACACTCGGAGCCTATAGTCTAATGACAGAGAATGAGATAGTTCTGCTGAATGTGTTTACTCTGGCAAACTGCTTAATTGTCCCTCTGTTTCCCTTGAAACAAATGCAGCATTAAAACATTATGATGTCGGCTCTCCTGTTTGCTTTGTGGATTACATACAGCGTGCCCAATTGAAAAGGGATAAGGCCCACGTACAGGGAGTCCTGTGAGCATTAGCACTTGGAATACCTCAACTGTCACTCAGGGAAAGAACAATTCTACTTCAGTGCTCCAAGCGTGCATTTTTACCCTATAAAAACACTCCTACCTCCCCTGAAAGTCCTTAGACCCAGCAGTTACTTACTCTATAAAAGGTACAAAAGCCACTACTCATGTGCACAAGTGTACAACTATCCATGTGTATTTAACATCTCAGTAAAGAGAGGATTTATTTAAAGTGACTAAAAACATCCCTAGATACCATCTTGTTTTTAAAGCTTTTGAGAATCGAAGACCCATTTATTTTAAACGTACGTGTATTTTTAAGGCGGGGGGAGGCATGTTTAATATCCTATCTATGAAGCTAAGACTAAAAGGTAGTCATTTTAATTTGGAGGTTGCACTTAAACTGATTTTAAATGGCTTAAGATGAACCATTTTTCTTCTAGGGTGAGTTTTTATTTTCCCCAGTCATCTGAATTCAAACTAGAAATGACTTAAAAATCTAATTTCTCTTTTCTAAATTCCCTTTACATTCACAGTTTTCCTAACTCCAGAAACCATAGCCCATAATCATTTTCAAACCCAGGCTCCTATTCCCTTTCTACATACTCAAAATGTTTTACACACACACACACACACACACACACACACAGTGCTAAGTAATTTCCAACAGAGGCCGTTGCTATTAATAGCAATAATTAAGAAATACTAGACAAAAATAGATATGGGTCACAGAGAGGTAATCTCCCAAAATGTCAAATATCAACAATATCCTTACCTGCAACTTGAGGAAACAGCAACATCTGAACTGGTTTGAGGTGTTTGCACCTGTGATCAGGGGTAAAAAATTAGAAGCTGTTGTTAACTCTGCTTCGGTGTCAGCTCTTAATTACACAGAGCACATGGCAGAGAACCACAATGCTCCCTTTTAACCAAAAGAGAAAAAGGAGGATACTGCAGCCGTGAAAGGCATATTGTCTTTAAGTTGAGGTCTCTACTGTTGTTTCCTCCTGCAGGTCTACCCTCCTCCTCCCCTGGTCAGGGGGGACGGCGGCCAAATGACTGGATAGTGATTCATCACTGGCCTATGACAGCTGCAAACGGATTACCCCTCCCCCAATCAACATGCAAAGCAGCCTGGCCCAGGCAGCTTGGAAAAGGTGCTTGGAGGGGAAAAAAATCGCTAGTAGCAAAATGAGTGTGTTTCACAGCAGTAGCCCGGGCCACAGGGTCCTCCAGCATCCTCGGATCTTTCATCTGCTGCTCTCACCAGCTGAAGCAGCGTTCCCGCCCACCCCTCTCACTCCCGACAGTTTCTTATCCTTATCACCCGTTTTCTGCTATATTGACTGCTTGTCATTTCACATTCACTGAAAGGGCTTTTGGGCAACTTCCAGGCCCCGCTGGACTCCTTGCAAAAGGCAAGTTTTCATCCCCCAAGCCCCATCCCGGAGCGCTGTGCTCCTGTACCCACGCAGATTTACAAGGCAGCCACGCGTACTCCTCAAGGCCTGATCAAGTAGGGAGAGCCGTTCGCTTTGATCTGATTTTCCATCTTTTAAACCGAGAGAGAATGGATGAGACAGTCATCAATCCGTGCCCCAGGTAGCCAGCCTGTCGCTGTCTGTTGTCTCCAGAAGAGTCTGGATTTCGGGACTTCACCGGACAACAACTAACCTAACAGGCAGGGCAGCCTTTGCTAATCTCTGCCCACCCTCCAGAGGCAGCGCCCACACCAATGACCAGCAGGTGAGCAGCTCAGGCGAAGGTGGGCTGCTGGCTCCCAGGCTCAGGCTGATGCCTCAGCTGGAAAGAGCATTCTATTCTGCAGGGCGTTCAAAATGATTCCGAATTCCAAACCTTTGATGTGCATTTTCATTCAACCTGAACTGACATTTATTAGGGTCACAGGACCGAGTTGAGAACTGGAGCACCTCACATGGCATTAAAGTTATCAGGCCAAGTATCTACGACTGAGTCCTGTTCTTTTTCAATTATGATTTATGAAATGAAGAAATACTACCTTTCTGGCCAGCATGAAGCATCGTTAAAGTCGCCATGTCTTGGTGAATGTTACGTGCGATTTCTGGGTATGCTTTTCTAGAGTACGTGCAGGATGAAAATTAATTTTTAAGAGATGCCTGAGCATTAAATGAAAATTTAATGTGAATGCTTGCGGATATGTCGTTCTGTGGTAACAGGCTTCTGCAATTTTTGTTAAAATTAATGTTCTAGACAAGGTTGAATGTTTCCCCTTAGAAACTGCAGCAATATACCTAAATACACCTGGAATAAATTATAGGTGAGAACTAACTTAGTTTTAAGAACTCTCTTGGCTTAATTATGTGAAAGAGTATGTAAAACATACTTTCTGTTTAATGTTGAAAGTGTTAAAATACATTGCTATTTTAACATTAGCTAGATTGTATAAGCTTAGAAATGTAACTTTGGTTCCATTATATACTTCGGAAGTTTGATTATATTTATATTTGAGGTTTAACCTGTCATATTTAAATTTCAAAGTCAAACTGTTCATTGAATTGGAGTTCAAAATAAGAATTATCCTAACACGTTTTCTCACTAAAAAATGTATTTTCACAACATCTTTCCTTTCTGCTGACTCAACTCCGTCTCTACTGTACTTTTTATACACTACAATTTTTGAAAGTCCACATTCACGATCTTCATTTCATTAAGTAGACTTCAGATATATTCTTTTGTGTCTCAAGGATTATTTAAACCATGTGTTGTGTGTTACTGTATTTAAAAATGACTCTTTAATCAAAATAACTTTAAAACAACTAATCCTCACTTAGGCTGGTCAGCTGAATCCACATCGCGGTCCAGGAAAAATAAATCTACTCTCAAGAATGCGAATGCAGACAACAATTAGACACAGATGTGAACAAAATTAGTTACAGTTTACAAAATGCTACACTTCACATGCTTTTAGTTTTTTATGTGTAGTACAAGATTGCAGTGTAGTAAGGAAACATACTCTCATAATGACTTATCTAAAAAGAACACCTATTTCTGATTGGTGTTGATTTTCTCTTATATATGACAAGATCTCTGGAAATTGTTGTGTTTTCAAGGTCTAAAACCCTAATGTGTTTCAAAAATAATTAGGCGTGTTTCCATTCAAAAGAGAAAAAATTATTTCATGGTTTTCAGAAAAAATGCTGTTAGACATCTGTAAGCTTACATTTTCTGCTTCCCATCCATAAACGTAATGTTTCTTGTCTTCTCCTAATCTGGCATTTTTAATTCAAATGCTCCTATGAGTGCAACAATATTTCCCTTAACATTATAAATGGTCATCTTATATTACAATGAAGTCATTTCACTTTAATGCTTTTTAAAACTCTTCCTATAGAATGAATGCTCAGAGTAGCATACAGCTACTGAAAACACAAAGAGAAAAAAGATAGCAGAACTTCTTAGGACTTATATTCAAGAATCCCAAACTAGTAACTCTGACTTCTGATTAGTTAATGAGGTCTTTTAAGTTTGCCTTTTTTCTAATTAAATTTATAATTCTTCACAGATGTAACTTTTGTTGATGTTCAATTTGTCTCTCTCATTTTGTTAAACCTCACATAGTACTTCGCCAATCCATTGAATAGCCACATTAAATCTGTTAATACCATGCTCTTCAACCCCAGAAATTATTTCCAGAAGGCAAACTTGCTTTGAGGGATCATCAAACAAGACTTAAGGTACACATTTTATCACATTTTCCCTACCACAGAGCTCAGGATGCAGAGCAAAATTCATGACTTTTGCACTGTTTATTATACTTTGCTAAATTACAAATCAAAAGCATCTGACAGAAGATCATGTATGAAGCCAAAAAGTTAATAATGTTCTGTGAAAAGTAAACTGTAAATGGAAAGGGATTCTAAATCTCAGCAGCACAGAGCAAATAAAATGTAGGTACTTGTCTAAAATTATGGGTTTTCCACAGGCTTTTCTGCTTGCTAGAAGCAATTTTTACAAAACGACTATAATTTTAAACTTACTTTCTTCAAACCAAAAAGAAATTTTCAAAGTGAAAGTACTGAACTTATCTAAATAAATAGAGTTGGCAGGCAAGCTAGTTTTGCCCAACCACAGATCAACCTGAGCATTCCCAAATTTGAAAGACAATGGCAATTTTCTCATCAGAATGCATTTTATAGTGAAAAAAAATGTGCCTTGGGCACAAATCTGTTTTTTAATCAGAATGTACTCTTGCTAAAACTCTCTTCAATCAATATTTCTACCCACGGTGTCAATGCTCTGGTTAAAACCTAAACCTAAAACTGAAATAAACTTCTGCCAAGAAATGGATGGATGCCTTTGAAATGTTAACACTTATTTCCTTCTTTATCAAAGACTCCATGAAATAATGGCTTTCATACTATCACTGATTTTTAATGTAATATATATACTGTATTACTTTCTGAAGTATCTCATTTAAAGAAAATGACAAAAGAGAGTCCCCTTGGACACAAAAACAAGTATTTAAGTGGCACTGGTTCTACCTATAGTTTTCAAGGACTGTTTTCAAAATAGCATGTATTGTAGATGTCGAATACTTTTGATATTTGATTAAATGGAAGAAGTGGTTTTATTCCCTCTCTAAGCATTTTCCTCATTTCAAAGAACTCCTATAAAATACATTTTTTGCATCCCAATGGAAATTTTCTTCTGAGAAAATCATTTATCATGTCTAGGAAACCCAGAGAGCAGCTGACTTGCCTTTGGCACTCTCAAACTGAACAGTGGCTCAATGAGGCTTCTCCGTCTGTCACTGCAGAGAATTTTCAGGATTGAAAAGCCATGGCTGCCTGTTCATCCACTGGACACTTTGGGCCTTAGGAGAACTCATGCAGCGAGAAAGTCAAATATTTGACAATGAAAAAAAAAAAAAAAGCATGACTATTCATGTGTGCACGTCCTCAAATCCAAAGGGTGGGCGAAAACACTCATTCAAGCCTAAAATAAAACCTACTCTGAAAGACACATTTAATAATAATAATAATAATAATAATAATAAAACCTCAAATCTATAAAACTACACTATGTGCTTAACTACCGACTTTTTGGACCCCTTGTCATTTTAAGAAATGAAACATACAAAACGGTTGTCTAAAGGCAAGGACAGCTCTGAATTTATCGAATTCTGGCAAATGCTCTGCTTAAATGTGTTCAAAAACTCCCCCCAAGATACATACACCCACGAGTAATGGGCAATTCATATACTGATTCTGAACGACAAATATTTTAAATGATAATTCAAAAATTTAAGTCTGGTTAAATTTCAAAGTCCATTCAAGTCATATAAAATGTCAATAAGTGAAAATATTATTAATTTGGCAAATGTTTATAATTTCACTTTTGAAGATGAGCCTGTTTAATATAATGTTTGGAAATTTTGTTAATTGAAGCAAAAGGATTTCCTCCCTTTAAAAGCGGTGCCCATTTTTGTTGTCCTTTCAAAATGTTAATTTCTTCCTCATTTCCTCAGGTTAATCTGAAGTGTGTAGGAGAAGTTACCTGTGTATTGCAATGGAGATATATATATATATGTGTAGATACTGACATAGGTATATTGCATTATTCAGTATCACACGATCATAGTTGAGGTTTGTGCAGCCATTCAGAAAAGAGATATGAAGTAATCTCCCCGCGGGAGATTCTATTTATTGGTCTAGATCACAACAAAAGTCATTGTGAACAATTAATTTGTAATTATCAGTCACTGGTTCTAATCACTCGGATAATTGGGGGGCTGAGAATTAGGCGTGGGTGACGGAACCCTGCGGTTCATCAAGTCCTGGGTACAAAGTGTCATCCTCTTCCCCATGCCCTCGGGTTTTCATGGTAAAAGAAACCAAAAGAAGACCCAGAGCGCTCCCGGCATCCCGGGCTCTGCCCGCCGGACAGCG